CAACCCCCGTGCTCAAGAAATGTGCTGATCACCGAGAAACTACAACCTTAATGTATTTGCGGGGGGGGGGATGGTTTCAGAAATCTTCAGTAAAACCTAAATAAAATTACCCTGTTTGAGTTAACACCGACCTTATATAATCCTATTTCCTCCTTCAGTCACTGATTCAATGCCCTTGACTTAGACGCTGTTATGAGTAGAGGTTAGACAAAAGATTACTAAGATGGCTTTTAGGTATTTATGCCTTACCCGTTCTCGTTTTTCTACAAGTAGATTGATGGTTGGTGATGATTGGTGTCGAGAAATTGTGCTTTATTTCAGTATGTTGCTTCCTATTGTGTTAAATCAATTCAAGATTACACTCACAGGTGGTTAAGTCCCAAACCCTTGTGTTGTTATGATGATGAGGCTCGATTGTGGTGCTCACAGGGGTTCCTTGCATATTTTGGTAGACTGAGAGCCAGTAAATGGGATGTTTGATAGGATAACAAGGAGAAGTTGCTAGAACAGGGGTAGTAGATAGTGTGTGTGTGTGTGTGTGTGTGTGTGTGTGTGTGTACATTTACATATGTTTAGGTCCGCACCCTGGCTACAGTCCTCATTTACTCATTTGTGAGGCTGCTTTCACCCCCAGTAAAGCTGTTGATTAAGTGGTGACAGCTGCACTGTTGTAGTTTTTGTTTTCTTGTCCAAAAACTAAAATTGGCAAAATATTAAAACTATACTTAACTCTGAATAAGGCAGTACTGACTTAACAAGGATGAACCTCAGGTTTAGTCGATCCTTAAGTCGGTCTCTTTTGTAAGCTCTGTAATGGCTGCTGTGGTGGAGCTTTGGTGCGCTCAGACTGCTTGCTTTTTTCCCTCTTTGTGGTTTTTCAGGGCAGGGTGCCATTGGGTCTATTTAATTTAAGTCCTGAAATAGATCAGCAGACTTGGAGAAAGCTGCTTATTTAACAAAATAGCAGAGTTCATTCACTCTGTTCTGGCCTTATCATTAAATTTCAGTATTATTCCGAGTTTTATCACACTTTTTTAAACTTGACTAGTATAATAATGGGCTTAGAAATGAGAAATAAATTAGAGATGCACTTCAATATATGACTTGATCCTTAAACTATGACGTGTGTTTAAGGTCTGGGCACATAGTAAGGCTTTATTTGCTGTATGACCTCCAGTGGATGCCAGTGCTGATTTGTTTTTTTGGTTGTTGTTGTTTATTTTGTTTTACTTTTTACTTTATATTTATATTTTGTTTAATGTGCCAGTGCATTTGATTTTTTTTTATCAGTCAGATCAAAGCTCTTCATATAGAAAGCAGCTGTCTTAAAGAAAATGGTAAAAATTGTCAGTGTCACCCGACCAGATTGCATTAAAGCGTCCATATGCCACTCGCTGGATACCGCTGTTATCCAAAAAGCCAATTCAAGCAACAGTTGTGTAATATATTGCTCGCCGGGAGCCAAAGGCTCAAGAGGAACATGGGTTTTGTTGAATAGGTTTTCTTTGTTTGTGTTCAGCTCACAGAAAGAACCAGTAAAAACTGAAAATGTTGTTTGTTTGTTTTTCCTTTTTAAAGCATTAATGTCAGTGATTTGGTGATATGGAGATGATTAACTATGGAAAGAAGAAGTCGGCATGTTCTGAATACTCCTCCTGAAGCGGTTTAGTCGCCAATTTATGGTGTTAGAGAAACTACTGTAGTTAATTCTCCAAGATGGTGCGGTAATGTAGCCCCATCCGATGGCACGATTAATTTGAACCAGATTCTGGTAATGAGATGTAGGTACGCCAAAAGCAAGTCCAAGAGGTTCCTCCTTTTCTGTTAGATGAGCCTTTTGTAAGAACCAAGCGTATTCAGGATTTATTTGGCCCACAGTCAGAAAATAATCAACAGTTAACATTTGCACGTCATGTATATGCATGTTTGGCTTGGTTGATGCTCACATGTCTACACAAACAGTCTTTCAGACCAGATAGAACTTGCTTCTTCTAGTTTTTCTTTGGTGGGATCAGGCTCACGACACAGCTGTTGTCACCAGCTGGGTTGTCTGTGAAAAGGAAAAGGGGGCTACTGCTAGGGGTGTGTGTGTGTGTCTGCGCGCGACACACACAGTGCATTTTCTCTGTACTTTTGCTCTTGTACAAGAGGAAAGGTAGTGAGAGAAGATGGCTTGATGGTGGGGGAGGTGGCATTGCTGGGAAAAGTGAAAGGGTGAGAGTGGATAACGGATGGAGTTGAACAGCTGTCGGGTCAGTTACTCCACAGCTCTGCAGCATTGAACTTTGCCTAACCTGTATAACAGCCCTATTTCCTTTTTGTTTTCATTGCAGATAAACACCAGCAGGTGTTTCTTCCTGCTTCTCGCCAGCCACTCGTATATAAATCAGGTTTAAATGTATCTCTCGATTATGAGGCCATATCGTGGACCTGCTTCTGCTGGTGCCAGGCACATGTTCCTTTTCTCCCCCACACTCCTGACTTCTGGATTGCCCTGATCTGCCCCTGATCTGGCGAGGAGAAAGAGGCATCTGATGCCTTTTATGGCAAAAACTTGCCTTGGAGAACATTACCAATCAGAAAGTTGTGTGAAGGGAGGAGTGCTGGCAAAGAGGAAGTTTTCTTTATCCTAAAATAAACTAATGGCTACAGACCATCACCTCCCCTTATCCTCAAATATTCGTAAGAACTGGAGGAGGCAATTGTGTGGGAAAATTATGAAATTACAAAAAGAAAGGCAGGAAATGGCTCAGTGAAACAATGTTTTCAAAAGGATCATTTCACAGGACTTGACCAGTTGTTCTGAAAGGCTTAGCAAAACCTTTGAAAAGTTGTGAGAGCTTATGGTATCCAAAGATGAAGCTCTTTTGTCGGGAAAAGCTTTTTCACGTGATAGAACATGTAGCTTACAGCGCAAAACCACACAGACCACATGAATATGTCTGTGCCCTCATGAGAGGGAAGGGGGGTATTTTCTGTTTGTTTTGGCTAGAGGAAGGAAGCAGATGGCAATAAGGAGATATGGGAAAAAAACAAGCACTTGAAGGAACTTTAAATGTGAAAAAAAGATTGGCAATTAAAACTGACTCGGTACAGTTCATAGTGTGGGGTAAATTGAAAGCTGGTTGGGCAGGACAATCAAGAGTAAGTCTAGATAGTTGCAGCTTACAGTTGCACTGTACCCACGTCGTAGATTCAAAGTACAGTGCAAATGGTGCTGTGAGGAGAGAAGGATGGGAGGAAAGGACAGAAAGATGCCTTAAGACGCATGAGTGGAGCAACTGGTGAAAGTAGCCTGTCATTAATAATTAACCATCAGCGTGTAATCTCCAGTGTCTCTGTGGTTTTACTTTTGTTTTTTCTAAATGATGCCAAAACAAGCTCAGGTACTGCCTGACGGAAACATCCGAATAATTTCCCAACAAACAAGAACCTTTAGCACCTTTGCAACCTTTGGTGTGTGTCTGCGAGTGTGACTATGCAAGTGTGAGTCTTTCAGTGTTTTCAGACTCATCCAGAAGACAGTTTACAGCTAAGCATTTGTCTGACAGATCAATTAGGAGACAGTGAACATGTAAGGAAATGGGGGCGGGGGTGTCTTAAACATTTACAAAGTAAAAAGCTCCAGGGCTCTGTATCTGTCTGTATTATGTTGACATGCCTTTCCTTGTTTGCTGAGGTGGAAAGCTGGGCGATGCTTCCTGGAGAACGGAATTAAACAGTGAAAGGCTTTTGAACACAGAGCTCTGGCCAAGAGGCCTCGTGCTTTACAGTCCAGTCGTGTTTTGAAAGTGTTTATTAGTTCCCATGGATATCAGCTGGGCCTGTGTTGATCTTCCCTCCTCGCTCCATTCCTTTCTACTTCTGCCTGCTCTCTTTTGCTCTTCTTCCATGAATTTAATACCCTTTTCATGCAGAAAAACCAGCCAATTAACTTTCCTCCTGTAAACTCCAGTGGGGTGAGCTGTGAACAGGAAGTAAAGGAGAGAAGGCAAGAGCCGAGAACACATTGATGGATCATTGTGTTTGGAGGTTGTGGAGAAACGAGGATGAGGGGAATTTGCAATAAGTTCAAGAAGGCTGGAAATGAAGGTCAGCAGTAGCACAATAAATTTAAGGAGCAAACTGAACCTCCTTTGTCCTTCAGCAAACCAAAACAGCGTAGCACTGGCAAGTAGGAGCGAAATAAAGACACATGTATAATCGAGAAGAATAATAGTCTTTACAGGGTGTGGAAAGGCTTGAATGGAATAGCAGATTAAGCTGGTTATTATTGGTCCTAACTTTTAAAATTGTGAAAAAGGAAGATGGGTGGACAGTTGATTGCGCAAAGTCTGCTGCTTGTTAAGATTTTCAACCTTTAACCCAGGAAGGCAGTGCCTTCACTGAGCAGGAGCTGAGGGAAGAAAGGGCTCAGCCCTGGGAACTCTGGCAGAGTGCAATATCACATTGCAGCGCTAAAACTAACAGTGGAAGTACAAGGAGCTGGAGATGGCTGCCTTTATAGAAGCTATTCTACAAACATTCGGTATTGAGCCAGAGTTGGAGGATAGGTACAGTAACAAAGGGCTCTTTTGTTTTGTCTCTTTAGGCTGCTGTTAATCAAACGATGGAAGAGTCACAGGACGTTTGTGTTTCGTAACTGATATTTTTGCAATCTGTTATGCATTGGATGCATACCAGTTATTTTATGCTGACTTCCCTGTTTATCAGTGGAATTTTACTGAAGTACTAACTTGGGCTGTTTTGTTTCTATATTTACTGTTGGCTTATCATTTGACCAGCTCATCTTGAAAGGCTGGTTGTAGAATATATGTGGGGGGTTTTCAGCAGCCTGAGCAACTTTCATTCTTTACAGACTCAAACTAAACTGTAGTTTTACAGCTGGCATAAATCTCAGGCACTTTTAAATTTCTTCTCCCGCTTCACTTTATCTTGTATTTGCCTTATCGGCACCCTTATCATTTTATTAATCTGCCCTGTTGTCTTCTATATTCCAGGAAGTCCAAAACGAAGCCAAATGGAAAGAAGCCACCAGCAGAAGAGAAGAAACAGTACTTGGAACCAGAGTTTACGAAAGTCCGCGTGGTGGACTTCGACCTTAAGGAGTTGGTGGTGCTGCCCAGAGAGATAGATCTCAACGAATGGCTAGCCAGCAACAGTGAGTGCCTTTGACTGTGGTAGTCGTGACAAATTTGAACAATAGAGTTGGACACTTGTAGATGCTCGGCATTTAAAAGACATTTAGTGAGGACCGTACTCATTGATCGAGCTTGGTGTTTACACCCACTTGTAATGTTTTCTCGGGGGCTTGGAATTGCTTTCCACATCTATATGCGCTTGTCACTTACCTGGATATAACAAGTAGGACAAGGGAGCTAAGCCTTTAACATGATCCAGGCCTGGCACAGTTTAGAGACTGTTCCCAGTGCAACACTACACGCCACCATTTACAGCCACTGTCAGTGCAGCGTGTCAGCCTTTACCAGAATGTATATTTGCCATTATGAGCGTCACTTCTGGAGTTTAGTTAGCTTTCTATGACCTGGCAGCTGGATCAGTCTCAGACTTTCTTTTTGACTTTGCTTTGGTTACATATCCAAACCACTACGGTGCGTGCAGGGGGGTGGGGTGCAATTCTTCTTTCCTTTTTATTTTAGCTAATAAAACACTGTTGCATAACAACAGATGTGATTTCACATGCCGATAAGTTTTTCACCATGAAAATTAAGTTACACAAGCTTGCATGTATCCATCAGTGGCTGAGGTTTAGCTTCCAGGAAACTCAGTTGGGTGGAGCAATGTTTAGATTTTTTTTTTTTCTTTCTTGTAACCAAATAAATAATGATGTCATTTACATTAAATATTTTCCAACTTCAGGCTTCTATGTTGTGCAGGGGGGAAAATGTGTGGGAACTAGTGGGATGGTAGTTTAATCCTAATAGGAATAGCAAGGGATCTACTTCTTTCCTTTGTAAAAATCGGTTGACATTTTGCCTTATTTAGCGTATTTATGTCTCCTGTTGTTGGAGATGATTACATTGGGAGTCCCTCTAGTAGTTCAAAGCTTTAAAAAAACACAGTCACAGAAGACGTATTACTTAAGGAGTCTCATACTACAAGTAAGATGGACGGGTTTTCCTACAACTAACATGCCTTGCAAGCATGTTGACAGTTGAATAGTTTTCTTGAGCCCCTATAGACCCCAGCTTTGCTTTGTTACACTTTTGTGCAAGCGTATAAGGCTGTGCAGGAGTTCTACCTTGCAGCAAAAATACCTGTCTGTTTTAGGTGAATGCTTGTCAAAGCCTCCCTCCCATTCTTTGTGTGAATCAGAAACAAAAACCCTCTTTTGAAGGATGTGATAATTGGAGTTAGTGTGTGCGCATGTGACTCTGACTTCCCACTAAGCATTGCGTATACAATTTTAGGTGTGTCCTCACGAGCCAAAGAAGAACGTGACAATAACATATCTTCTTACGGTCATTCACCCACTGGCATGCCTGTGCATTAGTGTTGTTATAATTCCTGTGTTGTGGATGACCAACAGTCTTGTGCTCTCTCATCTCTTTCCCACAGCAACAACATTCTTCAATCTTATCAACCTTCAGTACAGCACTATCTCAGAGTTCTGCACTGGGGAGATCTGTCAAGCCATGACGGCCTGCAACACGTAAGTTATCGCCCACACTTCTGGTTTATTCATCACTCACCTGGAGAGCCCTTATTGGTTTATTCATCAGAAATCTGGTGTCCTATTGGATAATTCATTAAGGAACGTTTCTCTGGTCAGCAAGGGCGAACTCAGAACCCCGAGGAGGTGCTCGGTCTTCTAACTACCCACACAGTATAGAAATGTGCATATTTTAAAGCTTTTAAGGAGATCTGTTCAGCTCATCTGAAGCTTCGTATTATTTTTTGAATTTATTAGCATGATTGGCAGTTCAAAAATGATCCTTATTTTACACTAGTCCTTCATCCAGGTTCTCAGGTCTGGGAAGGGGGCCTTTAAGGCCACTCACCTATTAAGTCAACTTTTTTTCTGATTGGCTGCCCCTCACAAACAGAAGGTTAGGGCTGCTGTGCTTTGATGTGCTTAGATGTTGCACCCAAGGCATGGCCTTTTTAAGCACTAGTTTTCCTCTTTTCATTATTATCACTGGCTTGCACAGACAAAAACCTGATGTAGTCTGGCAAATGTAGAGTCCACATGCTAATAACTGTAGCCTGGGCCAGGTTCAACTTCAATGCCTTGCAGTCCAGCCTGTGATTTTTGCTGCTGTCTGAACCCTGCTAATATCATTACACTCACATCACACACACATTTCCTTGATTCTCTGATCAAAGTGTCACCAGGATGTCTGCCTTTAATCTCTTGCCATTTGTTAGCAATCGGTTCCAGTCCAGGGGCTGAAATGTGTATCGCTCTGAAGTCACCACACAGGATATTTTTTGAAACTTGTCACGTTTTTAGACCCATACCTTTTGTACTAAACTGGTTTATCACTACTATGTGCAGTAAATTAGGCATATTTTACATTAGTTTGTTTAGGATAATCCTGACAGAGGTGTATCCATCTCATGTTAACACAAGGGGATTATGACTAACTCTTAAGTATTTATTGAACTTGCTTCCCCTGTTGAGGTTTGGTGCAGTCTTTTTATGAGGCCTTGACTCTTAAAAAGAGGCCTTCTTTTCCTCTGTGTCTGCTGAAGGCTCGAAAAACTAGATTAGCCACACTTTGAAAAACCGCAAAAATCACTAAACGCCTCTTAACACATTGTAAGTAATGCAATCACTCAAGCCGAATTCTGAGAGATCGACAAACAACCTGGTGTTTGACAGTAATCACGAGTTCAGCTGTCAGACAATGAAGTTTTCCACTGTTGTCACCTTGAGCTACTGCTTCTAACCCACACCCTGACAAATAAGACAAACATGCTTCACCTGCGGTATTTGAACGGAGGAGGCGTTGGAGCAGATTAACAGGTTTTTGTTTGTGAGTTAATGTCTTGAATATTAAAGACGCAGAGTTGGAGTGAAAATGAAAATAGTCTGAACTCCAAATGTAAGCCCAGCATTTAGGATTGTACCTTTCTCTGCTGCCTGGTGCCCAGCACCCCGCCTTTTCCTGCCTATGCAGGACCTGGCACGCGCCGCCCTCTGTGGTTAAAACTGACTGAGGCCCAGTCACAGCAGCAGCGTCAGTGCCCCTGCCCAAGGGCAGAGCTGAGCACTATTTTTGGAAGAAAATGTTTCCATGAGCTCTGAAGGCACCAGAGCCATTTGGTAACTATTTAGACCCATTTTGTGTAGGTGGGTGGATAGAAGTGCTCACTGTGTTCTCTATACATTGAGTTGTTATAGATGTTTCCAGTTTAGATTCTGTTTCTGAAAATACACCCACTTCTTCAGCATTGTTATAAAAACGTACGTCATTAGGAAAGAATAAAAAAAAACATCCACTCACTTGGCTCGAAGCTAAACATTCACTGTACAGTCAGTTTTTGTGTAAGTCAGTATTTAAAAACAAAATAAAGTGAGGAAGGAAATATATATATATATAACTTCTTTTTCTTCTTAACTATAAACCGAGGACACTATAAAAGAGACAAACTAACGGTTAAGCAAAAGCATATTAAATTTGAAAAGCTGTCTGTGCCCCGTTCATGAAGTCTGACTAAGTCACTGTGTTATCTTTACCATGTCTGCTTGTCTCTGTGTATTTAGCAGCACAGGTATATTTGTAGTTTAGCCCGTCTCCCACATGCACACAGTATTAGACTGTCTGTCTGTTAGTGTATTGTAAGTGTCATGTCCTGCTGTTGTGGTCAGTAGTTGCCTCCTGGAGGATCAGCTATGTGGACACTTTACATTCCTCAGGTTTTGTTATGTCTGCCCTGCTGCCTCCCACAGCCGCACTGCAGACCGCTACACCTGCACTCACATTTTATCTGCTTATTCACTGGCCTCTCCAACTCAGAGATCATCTCTCGTCCCTGTGGTTATTTTGCCATTTCTGTCTCAACATTTCGTCTCCTGACAGCCCTCGAAAAGCCTCCCGTGGCTCATTCATCTATCTCTAAGGTGCCTGCTGACCTCCCGTTTGACCTTTTGTTAACCATGTTTCCAAGCCAGCCGCTTACAATTCAGTTATCTGGGTCAGCCCCCACGGAAATGTTTGCCCAGCAGCAGGACTGACGGGGGATCAGTGTCAGCAAGAGGCAATGTGGCCCGATCAGGAAATTAAAACTCAGAGTCACAGGATCCGCTGTAGCCAAAAAATGTAAACATAATATCTGGGTTGTGCATAAGATTGATGTATCACTTTCAGTCATACAGTGATACTCTGATTAGAGGGCTGGGTTTTTCCTCGATGAGGAAACAAAGCAGGTGATTTTTCATGAGCTAATTGTCACTTGTGTTATTTTATCTTCCTGCTTGCTCGTTTCTGTTCTACCGCATTCAATTAAAAATCCTGCTGCTTACTTTCCGAATTATTAACAATATAGCGCCAAGCTACCTCATTGAGCTACTTAGATCATACACCCCTACTAGAGCATTAAGATCATCTTCCCAGTCACTCTTGGTACTGCCGAG